GCTTTTAAACTTTGATGTTCAGCACTTGAGGTGCATTCAGTGCATTTCCACCTTAGGATGGGTTTATTGGGATGGACCACATTGTGGATCAAGTGGCATGTGTGTTCTTCAGGGTGGCTGTGTTGACAGGTCAGCTGTAGTTAACTTCTTGCTGACAAGATAAGGCTGGTGGTAAGGTGCCCTGTGCATGTGTTTGCCTAGTTTTCATCTGTGCAGTCTAGGCACTTGCCCCCCAACTCCTGTCCCCCACTTCTTCTGACATATGCCATTTGTTGGCTTGTCGCTTATTGTCTCAAACCTCTTCCCCCATACCTCTGGACCTGAGCACAGCTCCTCTTGCTCCAAGTCTGTACATGATTTTCATGGAAGCAGAAGTGACCTGGTGGGCTTGTGTCATCAGCCACTGGACAAGACTGGGCTGTTTGGTATCTTAGGCTGAGCCTGAGCCTCAGGGCTTCTTCCCGCCTCCTTGGCTTGGCTACTTCTAGAACCACAGGGTATAGAATGTGAAAACCTCTCCCTGTCCCTTTGCACGGCGGAGGGAATGTTTCTTTTTCCATAGAGGTGAAATCCCGACCTGCCTCTTGCCATAGAGTAGGGGACAGCAGGCACGAATGGAAGGCCAGGTGCTGAGCATTTAAAGGAACAAAAATGATTCAGACCAAGATTTAGAGAAGCCAGAGACATGACTAAGGGAGCACAACTGTGCTGTCGAGCCCCATGCCAAGGGCCACACATTTTGTTCAAAAGAAACTTAATGGAGTTCAGAAAGAGGATTCACTTGGTTCTCCTACAGAGCAGCCCTACAATTTTGGAGACAAGTAACTTTAGTTTTCTCATCTGTACAATGAGATTATCTTCACAGCATTGTTGCTATCGGAATAAACAAGGCAGTGGACTCGGTGTGTGGTACATACAGAGTGCTCAGAATTTGTTAGCTCTGAATATTTAGTGTGATGGTGGAATTAAAGGTCCTTGTGTCTTGGGGTTTGGAACCAAGAGCCCTGGGTTATTAGGGGTCGGGGAAGTACCAGGTGCATAGTGGCCAAGAAGAGGGGGAAGTTCAAGGGGAAAGAACTGAGCAAAGAGATAATCACGGGGACTGGTGGACCACAGGGCAAAAGGCGGGCTGTTGCCAGAGCATGAAGAGCCTTGAGTACCAGTTTAAAGTCTGACCATTCCTTATAGTCTTGAGGGATGGGAATGGGGAAGTGTTTTGAAGCTCAGGAGACAACCCAAAAGGAGGTCCACATACACACCTTGAATCCTGGGATTGACACTCCACCCCCACCCTTTTACCTCCACACTTCACTCCTGAACATGGCCTCTGCCATCGGGTACCTTCCCCACCTCTTCGCAGCAGTCCATACTTAGCCAAGGGGAGAAGATGCAGAGCTGGCTGGAGCGTTCACAGTGCCCAGTTGTGCAGGGTCTGCTCAAATTCTGAAAGGCATTATATGACACAGTAAGGCTCCCTTTTACCAAAGCGAGTGCCAGCTGTGGGCAGGGAGGGGTGGGTGACTTTCATGGGTTACCGCCCTATCCAAGGCATAGCATGCACCCTAAGCCAAGAAACACATCAACTTCCTGGAGCCGTCATCCCAGCTGTCTCAGCCTTCAGAGCACATGCAAGTCCATCCTGGTTAGAAAAAGACAGTTTGGCCTCAGGCTTTGCAGGCAGAGAGAGAGCAGGCTTGGCTGTGGTGGCACAGCTAGTCTGGTTTGATTCGGTCCCCAGCCAAGTCCACCCTTCAGGAGATGTCTTTGCTGTTGGTCAAGTGCCCTAGTAGCTCAGACCATTCTGATGTCTGTACTCCTCTTAATTCAAACTCTTTGAGCCTGTCCTGGCTGGCCTGAACTCATCAGCTGTGCTCCAACACACCATGCATCAGCCATCCCACCCCGAGTATTTATGAACATCCAGGAGGCTCAGCACTGCAGCCGTGCAGGTCCAGTGTTGTAAAGCCCAGGACCTCTGCCATCATTGTGGGCAGCTCAGCGTATTCCATATTTCCTGGGGGGTCTGAGGACAGATTTTAGATTTCACTTCAGAAACCCTGGAGTTTTCAGAAGCTGGGATGCTGCTCTTTGCTTCTAAACCATCTTCCCTTTTATCTCTCATCTCTTCATTGCTATCTCACTGGACCTGGAGACAGGCTCCTTAATCTTCTCTTCTGGTTTTACATAGCATTGTCCCTTATCTCCTCAGGGGCTGGGGGCTGGCCTTCCCTTGCCCCTCCTCCTCCCAGAGGGACCTCTGCCTTCTCCCAGACATCCTGCCTCCTTGGCTTTGCAAAAAGCTGGTGGGAATGAAAATCCAGAAATTCAGCATCCCGGACCATTCCCCAAACATCCCAGCCTTCTTAGCCGCCTCTCACCAACCAGAGTCATCATTTAGACCATAACTGGTCTTGTTTGTTTGTTTTGTTTTGTTTTCTTTTTTTCTCCTGAGGCAGTTGTGATGGAGGTAAGAGATGTCTTGAAGTTTCTTCCAAAAACTGTTTTGTACTTTTCCATTCTACAAGTTCTGTGAGTCCCTTAAGCCTAAGGGAACCCAAAACAAACAGGGTAGTGACTCTATTATTCAACTTAATTGAAGACATTCTTGATATTCAGATCATTTACATCCAAGGTCAGAGGATGGAGTTTCAAGGTCAAGTCTAAGCATGGCCTTTTTGCTCCAAAAGGATCCTCTTCCCCTTTGGTTCTCTCTGTGTATTTGAGGGGAAACTGGTGATTTTTTATTTTTTATTTTTTGGTAAGTACTTAAATGAGAAGAGGAAGCAGGACTAAATTTTAATGGCAGTCTTAATTATATTCTGGAGAATGTTCATTCCATAAATGTTTCTCTGACTCTGAAACATATTGTGTGAATATATATGTATGTGTCTTTTAATTATATGTAGAACTTATTTGGAGATCTTGACAGTTTCTGGGAGAAAAAAAACCTGTGGGCTACTTACTCCTTCCCAGACTTCCTTACTAATAAAATGTACCTTTTTTTACCCCCAACTACGTGTACTTTTTCCTTCTATTTCTCTTTTATTTTGGGGGCTCTGGAAATGGAACCCAGGACCTCACCATGCTGGGCAAGTGCTGTATCATTGATCTATACTCCCAAGCCCCAGTTAATTTAAAAATGAATTAAAAATAGAGAAAGTTTGCTTGCTTTTTAAAATACTTATTAAAAAATTATGCTTAATTTTTCCTTAGATATCCATAAGTTTATATAGGTAGAGATCATCTGAAAGAATGGTTTGTGTATTTCCGAAATCTGCATAACTTTTAACAAAATTAGCTGATCCATGGTTTTGAGGAAGTGGAGGTCATATATCAAGTAAAACACGAATTCTTCCCTTGCTTTTCCAGGATATTTCTGGAGTCCCTGATCCTCCTGAATCTGAATGAAAATGTTGAGTGTAGAGTGTATGTGTGGTTTTTTTGTTGTTGATAGACCTTTATTTTATTTATTTATATGTGGTGTTGAGAATCAAACCCAGTGCCTCACACATGCCAGGCAAGTGCGCTACAGCTGAGCCCCAGTCCCAGCCCCCTTTTTATTTTTTATTTTGAGTCAGGGTCTTGTTACAGTGCTTAGGGCCTTGCTAAGTTGCTGAGGCTGAGTTTAACCTGCCTCAGCCTCCAGAGCTGCTGGGATTACAGGCATGCACCACCTTCCTTGTTTCTTGATACTTTAGAATCCAAGAGAATAACACAAAGAAGATGGAGAATTGAAGCAGAGAGGTATTAAGAAAAATTTGGGGGAGCATCATGGTATCAAAAAATCACTCAGGAGCTGTTTCTGATTAAAAAAAAAAAAAAAAAAATGCTGGTGAGCTTTATTACCCACCCCAGCAGAGCAGCCTAGCCCAGGCTTTTGCCTGCCCAGGGTGGTTAAGGAGCTATCTGTGGACAGCTTGAGGAAGTCTGAAGACGATAGCTGTGTGGCACACTTGGACAGCTTTTCTCCAGACTCTTCAAAAAAGGGATGAAAGTGAAAAAATGTGCCCCGCAATTGCTTTTAGACAAGTGCTATCCGCATGGGGTTTATTTTGCTGCTGCTCCCCCTGCCCCCTTTTCTGCTATGCTGGGAATCATGTGCACAGAGATTTCTTTCTTTTTAATGTGGTGCTGGGGATTGAACCCAGAGCCTTTTGCATGCTGGGCAGGTGCTCTATATGCTACATCCCCAGTCTTATTAACTTTTTGAATCTTCTCCCAGTTTTGCACTCTTTAGCTTAGCTGAGAGATGCTGTTAAGAGCCAGAGACAAACATACCAGATGCTGTCGTTCTGGGAAATGCCATATTCCAGCTTTCTCTGACCGTTGAGGTCCAAACACAACATTGTCCCAGCTTGGGACTTTTCAGGGCCTTAACACACTGGAGAAGACTTTCTCAAGTTCGTGAAGGGTGTGTGTAATTAGAGACATTTTCCACATCTTACTCCAGAAAAGAAAAGGTGCGCATTTGGTCCTGTTTGACATGAGTTACAGACACTTCTTGTTTGGGAAAATATGAGATAGTCTCAACTTGAAGGCTCTGTTCATTACCTATTTCTTATTTTATTGCTTCTTTTTTCCTGTTTCTATAGCATTGACTGGTATCCTGTTTTTCTATTTCCTTCAAGTCAAAGGACCATCAGCTTCTACTATTAACATGCATTAGGATTGCCAGAGCTCCTCCAACAGTCACAGCCGGCCGTCTGGACCCCTCTCTTGTGGTGTTGCCCTCGCCATTGCTGGAACCTGCTTGGTGTGGTGGTGGTGGGTGGGGGACCTGTGGAAGTGGACTCAGCTGTAGCCACACTTGTTTAGATGCTACCAGGTTAACTCTGGGTGGAATCGCCGCACAGATTACTTGTAACTGTAGGCAGGGCATGGGAAATGTGCTCTTGTCTCAGTTTATGATTCCTGGTGTTGTTGAACAGAGGAGATTATACAGAAAATGGATCGCTTCTTGTCTTAGCTCCCTTTCACATCAACTTCTCTTGTTTTTGCAGGTTGCTCCAACTCTGCGCTCCAGAAGTGGTGACTTTGAGGTGTGACCCTGCCCACATTTGGGCCCAACCCGTGCCAGCTTCTCAGTAAGGAGGTCGTGACTTGATAAGACGAGAAAAACAGGTCAGTTAAACAGCACAGATTTTCCTTTATTTATAGTAACGGTCAGTGTTGAGTCTTCCTATGCTCTCCCTTCTTCCAGCTCCCTCCCCAGTTGTGCTCCCTCTTTTCCAGGATATCCTGAGACTTAGTGCAAAATCAGTTTAAAATTGTGAGTGCACCTTGCTATTTTTTTCTTGATCTGTTGATCCTGTGGTGTGGGATGAGAAAGCTGAGCATGCTTCACAGGAAGCAGCACCTCAAACCAGATTCCTCTCTTCTCTCCTTTTTCCCACCCCGCAGTTTGGTCTGTGGGTTAAAGACTGGCACACCAGGCTAGTCTACTTGGTGTTGTAGATCACACATGTGTCTTGGGAACTTCATCTGGGGTCCTAGTCCTCTCTGATTCCAGTTGAAGGGGATGGTACTAGAGTGGGGCCAGTGATTATTTTAATGAAAATTCTAGGGCTATAAATATCCATAAAAGGAAAAGTGTTTTATCAAAAGACCATAAACTATTAAAATATCTTTTATTCCATGATATCAAGCATCAGCAAGTTTAGGTATATTAGTTTGGGTTATTCCATTGTACTGTGGGGCATTGGGTAGCGGGTAGGTAGAATGAACTAATACTGGCCACCTTGCATCTAGTTAAAGTATCATAACGAGCCTTAATGTTAAGAAGGATTTTTTCTTTTTTTTTTTTTTTAATATTTATTTTTTAGTTGTAAATAAAATATAGGACACGATACCTTTATTGTATTTATTTATTTTTACGTGGTGCTGAGGATCAAACCCAGTGCCTCTCATGTGCTAGGTGAGGGCTCTACAGCTAAGCCACAACCCCAACCCTGGGGAATTTTTTCTAATACGGAACAGTGAACTACATTGTGTTTAGCACCAGCATCTTTCCGGTGCCCCATTCCATACTCAAAGGAGAACTCAAGTCTAGGACTCAAGAATAAACTAGAGTAAAATCTAGCTTGTAAAATCCAAGGGACAGGTTGTTATTTGCTTTTGAAACATCTTCCCAGGGTGGATCCAATGATCCTTTTTTTCCTTTCAACCAGCATAGCCAAGTATTCCATTCTATTGATTGTATTGCTATTTACTTACATTAAAATAGGAAAAGGGGGCTGGGGGTGTAATTCAGTAGTCAGGTGCTTGCTTTATCATATACTTGAGGCCCTGGGTTCAATCTTAGCACAGCAAGATAATTAATTATCAAAATTAGGAAAAAGAAGTAAATGGAGGGGATCTTGGTGTCATTTACATGCAGCATTAACACTTATATTTTATCTTCAAGAAGGAAATAAATTTGACCAAGCCAGGAGTGGTGGTGTACACCTGCAATCTCAGCCACTCAGAAGGCTGAAGCAGGAGGATTGCAAGTTCAAGGGCAGCCTCAGCAACTTAGTGAGGCCCTGTCTCAAAATTTTAAAAATAAGAAAGGCTGGAGATGGAGCTAAGTGGCTCAGGAGGGGAGGGGATTGGCCAAAGTCTTCCTGTCCAGAAGAATGAGAAGCAAGTTTATAGTTAATCCCAAAGCATGGCTTTTCTCCTTTTCCAGTGGGCTAAGTCCTTGCAGCGTTCAGCTCTTGTGCTAATTAACTGTAATAACTCTCGCTAGGCATTTTCTATTTCAGACCTAGTTTGCAAGAATGTATCTTAGATATCATGACTGAAAAAATTCTTACTAGCATTTTGGGTCTGTTTAGAGAACATATTTTTGTCAGTTTGCCTGTTGGTCATTTAGTCACAAAGGTGTTTACTGCAACTTCATAGATTTGAGTCAGCTCTACCAGTTTTCTTTTCTAAATTTACTGATAGGACAAAAGTGAGATTATCTTCCATACTCTTCATATAAATTGGTAGGAAGGTTCATATTCTTTTTATTGATACAACATAATTACTATAAAGATAGATTTCTAGTAGTTATTTTACACAATGTGGTGAATTCAGTACTGGAAGCATCTATTTCTGAACCCAATACATATTACATACTGATTAATGATGATACTTTTGTTAACAATTAATTAAGAAAAATGTATCAGGTGTGGAGGCACATACCTGTGATCCCATCAATCTGGGAGACTGAGGGTGGAAGATTGCTAATTCAAGGCCAGCCTCAGCAACTTAACAAGATCCTATCTCAAAATAAAAAAAAAAGAAAGGATGGGACTGGGGATATGGTTCAATGGTAGAGTGCTTGCCCAGCATATGTGAGGCACTGGGTTTCTCAGCACCACATAAAAATTAACAAATAAAGGTATTGTGTCCACCAACAACTAAAAAAATTTAAAAAAAAAAAAAGATTAAGGGTATGACTCAGTGGTAAACTGCCCTTGAGTTCAACCCCCAGTATGAAAAATAGAAAGAAGAGTGGTATGTGTGTACACACTTGTATGTACATACTGTGTTTGCATATTTTTTCCCCTAAGGAGAAATGACCCCATTAAAGACAAAAACAGGAAGTAAGAAGCATAATTTTTAATAGATTTAAATGGATGTTGGCATGGGGAAACAGTTTGGTTTTCCTCTCTTTTGGGGAAAAGATGTGGGAGGTGAGACTGGATCAGGAATCTTAAATTGTATGCTTTTGCATTTACTCCTTTTTCCTACTATTTGGTTATATTTAGAACATCTACTAACAGTTGTCTTAGGTTGTTTTCTGTTGTTATAACAGAATCCCCAAGACAAGGTAATTTATAAAGAATAAAAGTTTATTTGGCTCAGAATTCTGAAGGCTGGGAAGTTCCAAGGGCGTGGCACTTTCTTGGCCTTCGTGCTGCATCATAACACCACGGAGGATATCACATGGCCAGACAGAGCAAGTGTGCATGTTCAGTTCTCTCTTCCTCTTCTTGTAAAGCCACTAATGTAATTGTGGGTGTTCCACCCTCATGACCTTGGCTAATTACCTCCCAAAGGTCACACTGCAAATACTATTAATAATGTATGAATTTCAAGGTTAATTTTCAATACTTGATCTTTTAGAGAACACATTAAAACAAAAGCAACTAAAGCACGTTTTATCACTTGACAAGGAAATTTCTAAGATTGTCATTGGCCCTTTTGGTAGGATTTCAGTTAGAGATTTAGCAGATAGAAGCCACTTAATAAAGTTCTATCCCCTTTCCTGCTTTGTTGCTGGAAGGCTGCTTATCTGGAGCTGCTCTGGGTAGACCACCTGACCACCTGTCAGAGCCCCTAAAGTTGGTGGAGAAAACCACATGAAATCATGTTCTTTCTCATGTTGTTTTTAAGCAGCCTCTTCAGCTAAGATTATGAGCTTGATCTTAGGCTGCTGTTCTGGCCCTCTGAAATGTGTTAATTCTAACCATAGAAAAGGAAGGTACTAAGATAATATTACTAGTAGGGATTCAGCTATAGAGTATAAAATATTCATCCCAGATAAAATGAGGACTACATTTTATGTATGGACTCATTACTGACTACACCTCTCGCCATAGGCCTTCTAGTGGCAAAGAGTACATCCAGCCTGAAGAAGTAAATCCTGGTGTAAAAGGGTCATTACTTTCCCTTTGGTCATTCTTTTCAGGTTACCAAGCTTCATTTAGGTCTGGCCTAATACTGTCTTGACTCCGACCTTTTAGTGAATTCCTTAATTGTTTTGTCTTTGGTCAATTTCAGGTTGAGACACAAGGTGGGTCAAGTTGGGGTCTGAGGCTCCTTATAAGTAACTGGGGCGCAGTTTGAAAGAAAATTTGGTATATAAATATGAGCTTCAGAAAGTAAAATACAGCAAATAGATATTCCCTGAATCTTTCTACCTCTGTTTCCCTCCAGTGTCAACCAGTGATAGACGTAGAGGAAAAAAGAAGTAAACACGGAGCCATTTCTTCCTGCGTGTGGATGCTAGTTCTCGCAGGGGGAAATTTCACGGTTTATCAGTTGGCAAAAAATGGAGGTAATTAGCCACAGGGGTGGGGTTTTATTCTTTCTGTTATCTGGGGTATAGGTGTAGTACTTACTTGTGTCTTTGAAGAAACAGGCTATTTTATGTTGATTTGAAATTTGGTCATAATCCTGACAGGGTTGGTTTCTCTAATCTCTTACAGAATTTGGGTTGCCCATTAAACTTACTTTATTGCAGCAATGGAATTAAATGAAACCTGAAGTTTCTCATCCCGTATATTTAGGTCTAGAGCCTTTATGTCACAGAAAACAAATATATGGTTCTGTGGAGGATGACAGCCAGCCAAATGGCAGCTTCTGGGGGTTCTTGTTGTTGGCTTAGCCTTTCCCACCTCTGCTTACAAAGATGAGGAAAGGCAAAGAAACCTTCCTCAGGTCACTTGGAGTCCTGTCTGTGACATGCTCTCAGAAAGGAAGCAAGATCAGTGGTGAGTCTTCAGAAAGCCAAAGTGTCATTAGATGAAAGCTTAAATCATCATTGGCACCACATGAGTATGCGCTTGACTAGAAGGAGGGTGTTGGTGTTTGACCCAGCTTGTAGTTCAGTTACACTTGGCTATGAGGAAAGTCTCAACTTCCCTTGGTAATGTCAGCAATTTCTGGTTTTCAGTTCTATGACAGAGGCTTCTTAGAAGCATAAACTCCTGTTCCAATGACGTCAAGTTCGCCTATTGGCTTGGAAGGCCCGGACCTGTCTTCCATCAACACCATGATGTCAGCAGTAATGAGTGTAGGGAACGTCACAGAGAATGGAGGGAGCTCCCAGGGCATCAAGTCCCCTGTGAAGCCTCCAGGACCAAATAGGATTGGCAGAAGGAACCAGGTAGGCTTCAAGTACATTGGGTGGTAGCATCTGGATGGGTTCCGTCTGTGAGAATGTTGGAGGAAGTTTCCCAGCTCCCTAAGACAAAACCTTGAATGTGTTCTGAATTCAACAGATACACCCAGAGGCCTAATCATTTTTCAGGAGCAAATTTTTCATAGCTTATTTCAGTTTCCTTTCATAGAAGAAATTTTCTTTGCTTTGGTGTCAGTGTTGTGAAAGCACCCTTATTCTTTACCCCATGATTTGATTTAAACTCAGTCTTTCTTCACATGATCAAGGCAGTGAACTTAGTCAAGTTCTCGGCTGTGATGTGGTTTCTTTCCTTATTCGCACAGTTGGTTAATTGAACTTTCAAAGCCAACTCCTTGATTTTTTTTTTTTAAACATCTTCAGATTAGGTGGCAAATAAGTCCTGTTTGTATAGGGGCTGCTGTTCAACTTTCCAGTTTTCAAAATGCACAGAATTTGACTCCAGAGAATTCCACTTAAGATTCTGTTTAGTCCTCTTGACAAAGGATCAGGAGAAGTGGGAAAAAGTAAATGGGTAGACAAAGATTGGGAGGTATGATTGCTGTTATAAAAGTCCTAATCTCCTCCATTGGGAAATAAGATGAATCTTTTAATTAATGGACAAATGGGACACTTTTGAAAAGTTGTGCTGCCACAGTAGAAACATGGTGTAGGTATACAAAGGAGGGAGGCAGAGGACGAATGAGTCTCTGTTCTCCTCTGGATCCATACGGTGTGAATTTTTGGTTTTATGGGTTTATACTAAACCTTCAGAAAGAAGGCTGTCTTCTTCTGAGTTTATCTAGGAACCCAGGGATGGACAAGAGAGCAAGCCCACTGGGCTTTTTAAAAATTTTCTTTTTTATTAGTAATCTTACTACAGCTGTTCTTACACAGAATTCTCTGATCACATCTATCTGGTTTTCTATAACTTCTCAGTAGTAGAACCTTAATTAAGATTTTAATGCAACTTACCCTCCAGGAAATGTGATGCCAGCCCCAGCTCCCACCAGGTGTGTGGGACTGCACTTCTTCACAGCTGGCTCAGGGCTGAAGCCTCTGTCGGCATCGCTCAGTGGTGTTTGAGAGTCGGAGCACTGACACCTTTCTTTCTCTTTTTCTCCCTTGCCTTCGTGTGCCTCTCTTCTATGGGTACCTGAGAAAATACTCAGCCTGTATGACTGTGGCCTGAGTCAAGAAGGAGCGCTAGCTCTGGGAAGAAAAGGTTTACTTCCATTTTCACGTGCCTGTCCATCTCTTCATCTATCTGTCCATCTCTCCATTCATCAACTTATGTAACAGTGTTTACCAGCTTCTACTTCTAGCTAGCTGCTGTGCCTGGTACCAAGCATTTTGGGATGAATAAGACAGATCATTCATCCTTCTCTGCTCAGGAATGAGTGAAGTATAGGCCGGAGCTTTTCCTCAAGTAGCACAGCATCACCCCCACCCCCAGGGCCAGGCAGAGCTGGTCCAGGGCCAGGCTCCAGTTTCTTCCCAGTTGTTCAGAAATAGCCATTAGAGCCATGGAAGATACCCACGACTCCTCCCATTCCTGCATGATGAGTGGCGCTTGTTCTTCGGAGGAGGTGAAAGTGCAGGTGTAACTGGGCCACTTGTCCTCTGCTTCCTTTCTCCTCTAGGAATCCGGTGCACTGACTTTATTTTTCCAAGAGAGTTCCGGGCCAGAGGTAGCCTGCTAAATACAGTGCCTAATTAAGGGAACAAAATGCAATGGGAAGAGAGTATAGGGAAGAAGGAAGCAGCCTCCTTACCTGTGAACTGGATAGGGAGGCCAGAGAGAGGGAGCCAGGAAAAGTCCCATCCTCGTGAGCAGAGTTCCAGGACAGATTAGGCACAGCCGGATGCTGACAAGGGTGCCAGATTGTTTCATTATGGAATGGTTAGTTATCACATTAGCTGCTAATTTTATCTTTCAGCTCAGGAAGTGTGCTTCTTCCACCAGCACAGTCATAATAATTGGATTCAAAATCCTCCAGTAGGCCGTTTCCAACATCACAGTGATCTCTTTTCTGTATAGTTTAGTTTTGAAGGTTAAATCTGAGCCCACAGCCCACCTGAGATTTCATGAACCTGTATTATGGTCTACATGGCAGCATTGCCAGCCTCAGGTTTGGCAGCAGTTAATGATCAACCTTAGAGTCATTATCAGTCAGCTGCACAAGCTGCATGCAGTGTATCTGGTATCTGTTTCAAGCCAGATGCAAGAAAAAATTAAAAAAAACAAAAACCGTCTCCTCATGAGTCTGGTTAGTTTGTTTTTTCTTCCTCCTGCTCTTTTTTTGTTATTGTTGTCGTTGGTGGTGGTGGTGGTGGTAGTTAGTGGTGGTGTTGATGATGAGCTGGGCTCTTACTGTCATGTGACCCTGAGTCTGGCTGAGGCTTGGCTTATCTAATAATTTGACAGAACTGCTCCAGAGGTTTTATTTGATCCTAATTTTGGCCTAGATGTGAGGCGTCCCTCATTATTATAGAAAGTGCTCTTCTTTTGCTGCTTTTGGGGTTTTTTGTTTTTATGGAGGTCCTTGGCCAGCTCTAGTCTGAATGATTGTAGAACTGGCTGAGAAGATAGGACCCCCATCCCCAATTATGCCTTTGAGAGGACTTAGAAGTACCTGAGTAACTTGGTGAGATCAGGACTTGTTTGGTTTCTGGGATAATCGACTTCCTTATAGAATTCACATCCTTAATCTTTTTAAATGTGAGTGTGAGAAATATGTGGCTGACTTACATGGTTCTCAGACCCACTTCCACAGATTGAAGAAGGGTCATCTTGCTTAGAATGAGACTTTCTAGTTTCTGAAAAGAAGTGAGGGAGAAGGCAGCTACAGACTAGACATCATCATGCATTCATTCATTCACTCCACCCATCTGGTTTATGGTGCCATTTGTTTTATAGTGCACAGGGTAACTTTTATTTTCACCATCTCTCATGAGCCAACCACAGGGTGTTTCCTTTCTGTGCCTTGGGGTTCTTTTTTTTTTTTTTTGGTCAAACTTTATATAGCATTGTGGTTTAGGGCATGGGCTGTAGAGCAGCTGACCTGAGTTTTAATCCTATGTCTACTTCTTAATTGTTCTCCAGTTTAGGGCAGGTTACTTGCCCCTCTGTACTCTAGTTTCCTCATCTAGAAAATGGGGTCCATAATAGTGTCTCTTAGCAGCTATAGGGGGCAAAAAAAGAAACCTTATGTTTCTGTATATTCAGAGTTTCCACATAGTAAGTGCTCAATAATTGGTATTTGCAGAAACTCAGCTGAATCTCACTTCAAGTAAAAGAGGTCTATTGAAAGATGCTCAAGGACAGGAAATGATGCACAGCCTGGCCAGAGTGTCTGGCCTCTCTAGAGCACTTGCACATGTGCGTTCATGTTCTCTCTCTTTCTTCCCCCTCCCCACCCCATACCTTTGTCTCAGAGAATGCCTGACCTCCCTCTCCAGTTAGCATTGACTTCTTAATTGATTTCTTGTGGCTTGAACATGCCACAGTGTTAGGTGTGGTCCCAGCCCTACATGAATTCTCAAAGTGCTCCTGATCACCTAACTTGGCAACACCCAGGCACATGTCAGTATCTTCAGAGAAGCTTATGAAACCAACAGATTCCTAGGTTTCACCTCCCTTCCTCCCTCCCTCACAGTGATTCTGATCTAGCATGTTGAGAGTCTGCTCTAGAAATGTGTTATTTTACAAAGCTCCCCAGGTCCCACTGATGGCCTTCCCTGAGCATTCCAATTTCTGATTCCCTGGAGAGGTGTCCAAGTCTGGATCCATTTACTTGTGAGACAGAGACCTGTGGTGCCTAGGGACTGTGTGAGTAAGGAGACCATGATAGGTAGGCACTCCTAATAGCTTTCCTTGGATTACTTGGAAAGAGGAGCTATAAAAAGGATTAGTGAATTTAAATTTCCTTTAAAAAGTAAAATAATTTCCTCAAAGGAAGCTTGTCCTATATGTTTTGAGGGAACATAAAACAAGACTTCACCAAGTAGTAAGCTGCTCCGTGTCGTCTCTGTGGAAGTCTCCAGTTTACACTGTCAATCCTATCAAAGTTCTAACATGGACAACATTTTTTTTTTCTTATTTCTTATTTACAAACAGTGTCATGCTGATGCTAGCATGGGTCAGAGGAGTTGTGTTAATGCCTGTAGGGTACATAACCAGGCACTAAGGGCTCCTGCCTTTGTTAGGGTGGGTTTTTATTATTTCACCATTACGGACAGTGAAATAGTATCCATGTAACAAAACACTGCTGTTTAATAAGAACTTACTCTGTACCAGGCACTATTTCAGTGCTTTAATTTTATTTTAAGTTTATGAATTTAATCCACATCACAACATGTTGTGATTGATACTCTTTTTTTTCCCAATTACAAACAGGGAAACTGAGGGCAGACAGGGAGGTGACCTGCTCACGCTGACACCTGGACAGGCTCTGGTCCGCTGCTCTCGGCTACTTACAGCCAGCTCTAAAGACACAGGGGCTTATGACAGAAATAGAAGGCACTGGTTTACTATGATTTGAAATTCATACTTTGTTTTAATCTCTTTTAGGAAATGAAAGAGGAGAAGTCTTCCTACAACTGCCCCCTGTGTGAAAAGATTTGCACTACCCAGCACCAGTTGACTATGCACATTCGTCAGGTTAGCTGCTACTTTTGTATTTTTGTTCTAAATTATTCTTCATTAACAAGGTGATGAGATGATTTGATTCTAATGGGTGAAATGTGAACAGTGCCTAATTTTGATTTAATCTTTTACAATCTTTGGGGCAATTATGAAATAATTTTTGTGTTCATGTTACTTTGGCAGAGCCCAGATCAACACAGAATAACTTCAGAATTTAATAAAATTTAGCTAACTGCCCACTTATATTAACAGAAGACTTTTCATCGTATGTGACTTGTCAATATGATTTGAGTTCCTTATGATACATTGAGGTCGTAGATGTCTTTCCTTTTCTTTATTGCTCTAAGTTTATCTCATTCAGTTGTGAATTTGCTTAGTTTGGGATCTTTTTCTTTTATCCTTTTCCCTCATCAGTCATGGCTGATGAGGGAAAAGGATAAAAGAAACAAGACTCTTGATGGGTATTGGATTGATGGGAATGATAATCAGTTGAAGTCATAAACATGCTGCTGAATAACACGTTACTAGAGTTACTTGGGTTTGTGTAGAAATCCTCTTTGCCATGTTTGAGAGGCCAAAACTCTACTCTGTAGGTTTCATTTTTCTTTCTCTGACAGCAGGCCTGCAATATCAAACTTGAAGGGATATTGACTCTCTGAGACAACCCTATTTCACCCATTTACTGTGTAGTTGAGTCCTTCTGCCCATAAAGTTAATATATGTGGTCAGTTAATCTATATGTTTCAAAGAAAGCCTGCAAAGACTTCATCTTTCTCTGAGCCTTGCAGAACTGCTTTTCAAAACTGGAACACAAGAAGATCCAACAAAATATTATTTGTCCATGTTTCTGATGATACATTTGGACCCTTTAGAAAGATAGTTAAAACAAAAAGAAATGGCCAAGAAGCTTCATCGGTTTTTATAAAGCTTTAGATGTCTGAGGTTTTGCCTATCTTGTCAAGTGACTACTGTGGTGATTATTTTCTGCAGCACAACACAGACACTGGAGGAGCTGACCACTCATGCAGCATCTGCGGGAAGTCCCTGAGTTCGGCCAGCTCCCTGGATCGCCACATGCTGGTGCACTCGGGCGAAAGGCCTTACAAATGTACTGTGTGTGGCCAGTCTTTCACCACCAACGGGAACATGCACAGGTGGGTGAGACACCTTTTGCCTCAGAGATGGTGTCTCTGAGCCATGGAGGACTTACCTGAGGGCCGAGAAAGTTCTAAAGTTCGGTTGCCCAAGAGAAAAGCTAGAAATGGTTTTCTTTACCTTCTTGGGGTGTCAGGCATGTCTGGCTATGAGAAACAACACGCAAGCATAGCTATTCAAGGTTCATCCCCCTGGGCCAGTTGAAGTTTGTTTTATTTCTTCCTTTCTTTTTTCTCTTCCTCTTGTACTAGGGATTGAACCAAGGCCTCATGCTAGGCAAGCACTCTACTACTAAGCTATATCCCCAGCCCTTATTTTATTTTGAGACAGGATTTTACTAAATTGCCCAAACTGGCCTCAAACTTGCAATCCTCCTGCCTTGGTCTCCCAAGCAGCTGGGATTACAGACATGTGCCACCACACCCTGCTGCCAATTGGAGTTTGAGTGCCACAGGTGGGCAGTGTACATATATATAGCAGGACCCCCAGGGAGACACATTCACATAACCCTGCACTTTGAAAAATATTTGCATGTGCCTACCATATTTAAATAGGTGACCTGATCCTGGAGTTTCAGGAAAGATAGGATAAAATGGAGATAAAGAAAATGTGATAAATGTCAGGAAATTACTTCCTGAGTGAGAAGCATGCTTATTCAGGTGTGGGCATATTAAAATATTCAGCCAGTGGGAGACTGGCTTACTCTTCTTAGAGTGATTGCATTGTTTTGAGTAATTTAGACAAAGAATTTTTAAATGCTTACCATTTTTATACAGATATTGTAGGAACATTGAAACTAAAAAAGGGGAGAAAGGAGACTCAGAAATTTCACTTTCTTAGAAAGTAAAACTTTTTTTCTATATTCCTTTCTAATCAATATCCTTCTTTTTCAAAAAATAAGTTACATTTTAATATACTTATTTCAAAATAAAACCTTACATTACCATAATATAATTGATACACTAGTTCTATTTGATTGTATATAATTACTAAGATGAATGGTCCAGTTTATTCTATCTAGGCTCATTTTATAAGCCACTAATGATACACTTGGGGGGATGTATTTGTATGTCACTAAGTTTCCTGATTTTAAATATTGCATACATGAATTCAGGTCTCCACTGTCACTTGTAAACTTTCTGTCCTTGTGCAAGTTACTGAATTTCTTGGTACCTCAGTCTCCTCATTTACCCAGGGCCTCACACAATGCTAAGCATGAACTCTACCCTGGAGCAGTACCTCCCACCCTAAAATGAGATTTTTCATAGTGTCTGCTTACTACAGTTAGGATGGGGATTAGGAGATAATGAATTTAGTGCACAATTCTTAGCCCTTGGTAAGCAATTGATAAATATTATTTACATTTCTGAGTAATGCTATAATAATTTAAAGCCTATGGATTTCTCAATCTAAGCTAGAAGTGAGGTGTATAGTATGACATCAAGAAAAGTATGAATATTTTAAAGAAAGTTTTACAAAGTGTTTTGCTTTTATTTCCCATGTAAATATCATTCCTGAAGGGTCATTCTCTTTGCCCTTTGAACCATTTTAAGTCTTTTGGTACAATTACATGGGATGTTTTTCCATTTATTTAGATCTTCCTGCTTTTTTTTTTTTTTTTTTCAATAATATCTTCTGGTTTTTAGAGTATGAGTTTTATATTTATTTTGTTACTTCTATTTTATTTTCTGGGGTTATCATAAGTGGAATTGTTTTCTAATTTAATTTCTCAAATGTTCATTGCTAGTGTGTAGGTATACAGTTCAAATTTATATATTGACCTTGTTTCCTGCAACCTCACTAACCTCATTTATTCATTCTTATGGTTTTTTAGTGGATTACTTAGGATTTTATAATATAAGATTATGACACTTGCAAAATTACTTCTTCCTTTCCTATCTGGATATATTTATTTCTTTTTTGTGCCTATTTGACCTGACTGGACCTTCAGTATATGTTAAGTAAAGTGAAGAGTGTGGGTGGTTTTATCACAGTTTTAATCTTAGGATAAAGAAAGCATTTAGTCTTCCCCTACTAAATGTGTGTTAGTTGTGGGTTTTTCATGAATGCCTTTAAAGTTGGAGGAAGTTCCTTTCTATTCCGAGGTTGTTAAGTATATTTATGATGAAAGGGTGTTGGATTCTGTCAAATGATTTTTTTTTTTTTTTGCATCTATAGTCAGGTTGTTTTTGCCTGTCTTCCCCTCCCCTCCCCTTCCCTTTAATTCTCTTCCCTTCCCTTTCTTCCTTCTCTCCCTCCCTCCCTCCTTCCCTTCCTTCCTTCCTTCCTTCCACACTGGGGATTAAACTCCAGGGTGTTTTACCACTGAGCTGCATCCCCAGCCCTTTTTATGTTTTGAGACAGTCTCATTAACTTGCTGAGGGTCTTGCTAAGTGGCTCAGGTTGACCTCAGACCTGACATCTTCCTGCCTCAGCCTCCTGAGACACTGAGCTTACAGACACTGAGTGCATCATTGTGCCCAGCCATTTTTGCTTTCTGTTTTGTTCTATTCTATTCTATAGGTTAAACTAATTTATTCCTAGGATAAGTCCTATCAGGGTCATAGTGTACAATTATTTTCAAGTGTTGATGAATTGGGTTTGCTAGCATTTAGTGTTTGTATTCATGGCAGTGTAGTCCTTTTGTGCCGTCATTATCTGTTTTGGGTACCAGGATAATACTGGCCTTGTACAGCGAGCTAAGTAAGATGTATTCCCTCCTCCAATGTTTTTTGGAAAAGTTTGTGATAAGCTGGCATTAATTCTTAAATGTTTGGCAGAGTTCACCAGTGAAGCCACCTGGGCTTTTCTTTTTTGGTAGTTTTTTTTAAATAACTAATATCATCTCTTTGCTTATTATAGATCTGTTCAGTTTTTCTTTTTCTTTTTTTTTTTTTTTTTTTTTGAGTCATTTGTTTCTTTCTAGAAAATTTGGCCATTTAATTGAAAACAATCACTGATCTAGCAGCCAGGTATCCACAGCACCTCATAAGATACCTTCTGTTCTGGAAAGTCAGTGGTATTGTCCTCTTGTGATTTCAGTGATTTGATTCTTTTTTTCCTTTAGTCATTCTAGCTAAACATTTGTAAGTTTCATTGATCTTTTCAAAGAACCAGTGTTTGCTTTCATTGATTTTCCACTGTTGTTTTTTTGTTTTCCATTTCATTAATTTTCTGCCTTAAACATTATTATTTCCCCCTTCTTCTTGCTTTAGATTTTGTTGGTTCTTCTTTTTCCAGTATTATAAAGAATAAGATTAGATTGTTGATTTGAGAACTTTCTTTTTTCCAGGCTTGTCACTTAAAGTAATAGGTATGAATTTATTAGAAGGGATAGGAAAGGGGAAAGGAGGAGGAGATGTGATTCCTCTCAGAGAAGAGAGGAACTGAGAACTTTGTGGGGTTTCTGTTGTTGTTTGTTTTTATTTTTTTGGAGGGGGTACCAGGAATTGAACTCAGGGCCACTCAATTACTGAGCCACATCCCCAGCCCTATTTTGTATTTTATTTACAGACAGGGTCTCACTGAGTTCCTTAGCACCTCGCTTTTTGCTGAGTCTGGCTTTGAACTTGCAATCCTCATGCCTCAGCCTCCCGAGCTGCTGGGATTACAGGTGTGTGCCACTGCGCCCGGCTGAGAACTTTGTTTTTAATACAGGCATTTACAGCTGTGTATTACCCTATAACCGTGGCTTTCCTTACATCCCGTAAGTTTTTTTGTGTTGTGTTTTTCGTTCAGCTCAACATATTTTGTAGTTTCCCTTGTGATTTCTTCTTTGACACATTGGTTATTCAGGCGTGTTCAGCTTCTACAGATTTGTGACTTCCCAGATTTCTTCCTTTTATTGATCTCTATTTTCATTCCTTTATACTTGAGGAACATATTTTTGCATAAATTCAATCCTTGTAAGTTTATTGAAGCTTGTTTTATTACATAGCATATGGTCTCTCCTCGGGAATGTTCCACGTCTGTTTGAGAATGGTGTGTGTTCTGTTGCTTTTGGGTGGAGTGTATAGATGTGCTGTTAGGTCAGGTTGGTTTATAGCCTGTTCAAGTCTTCCATTTCCTTGTTGATCTCCATGTATTTTTATGTGCTGTACCTTGAAGATTTGTTAAATGATCATCCCATTTTGCAGAAGAGGAAAGGATCAAAGCATCACGCAGTGCTGAGAGATGAGTACAGGCTCTCTGGCTTCAGAGGCCACGTGTTTACTTACTATGTGAGAAATAAGGAAGAGAGTGTTCATGTCACTGCATATTAGAAAAAAGCACTCCTGTCAGTCTTTTTTTTTTAAATTTTTTTTAGTTGTAGATGGACACAATACCTTTATCTTATTTTATTTTTATGTGGTGCTGAGGATCGAACCCAGTGCCTTCCACATGTGAGGCGAGCGCTCTACCACTGAGCTATCGCCCCAGCCCACTCCTGTCACTCTTGTCCTCATTCTCAACATCATTCCATGTTGTCAGAGTGTTATTTTCAATGTTAAACTATTTCTGTCATCCTGGTAGCATGGTCCACTCGTGTGTGGTCAGACATGGAACAGCTTTGGGGTTCCTGTGTTGTTTAGGAATATGTGGATGGACTTAGAGGTGTTCCTGAATTTTTTATAGCATAGCCTTGGATATTATCCTAAGGTACATTTCTCATTTATAACACTGTATATTAGAATTGTTTGTAGATCTTTTAAAATGTAGGCCTTCAGGAGTCTAATAATTGGAGATTTTTATTTTATTATTGCAAGACATCTTTTTTTTTTTTTTGAGAGAGAGAGAGAGAGAGAGAGAGAATATCTTTTTTGTAGATGGACACAGCACAATGCCTTTATTTTTATGTGATGCTGAGAATCGAACCGAGTCGCGCCCATGCTAGCCGGAGTGCTCTACCGCTGAGCCATAATCCCAGCCCCAGCAAGACATCTTGATTGGGAAAAGAGGATTAAATTGTTGGAGGCTGAATCCTAGTTCAAATTCTGCAGAACTTTGTGGAAATCTCTTA